AGAAGGGCCCCTCTGAAGGGAAAGGTAGTTTGCTCCTTACAGTCATGTAAAGGGTACAGCAGCAGGTAGGGCCATGCTCTGAAAACATGCTAAAGGCGACAGCCGTGCCAAGCTGTGCAAAGACAGCTATAGCTGAGGGTGGGGCCAAGTTCTACCAACAGCCAAAGCTATAAGCCAAAAGTTTGCGAACCTAGGAATAGGGAGGGCAGGAGGGAGAAATGCTCAAAAGACTGTCTACCTAGCCCCACACAAGGAAGGCTTACAGTGGTATCCAGTGTCTATGTGTACTTGACCCGCTTGTAAATAAGCTGAGCACACAGCTCATGTCCAGGCGAGTTGGAAGGCCATATGACATGTATCTCCACACTAAGCTCCCAGCATTCCCTGCAGGTTTCAGTGCTTTGTTATGAATATACATCCTCTGCCATGTTTACTTACAGTCTGCCCTTTTCAGCCTCATACACTCCCTCCCCTTACCTTCTTTCAAACTCAACCCCTACCCAGTCCCATCTGCCATTCCCCCAGTATAATCGTCTTCCACTGAAAGTCACAGGAACTTCTGGTAACTTGGTCTGAACCAGTGAAAGTACTTGTCATGTGATGTTTATTTTTCATGACCAAAGTACCTCAATTCCTTAGTCCTGTCCTAGAAAGAGGTGACTATCTTGCTCCTGCCTTTTTAGTGTGAGTACTGGTTCTCAGAAGCAGGGGCCATCTCTGTAGCTGCCCAGCCCTTCAGCAGGTGCTCACTGGTTGTCTTTTCTCCCTTGCTGAAGGATGTTGTCTTCCCTTCCTCTGTGTGGGAATCCCAGCCTTGGGGAAAGGGATGGAGGACGAGGCAGGGTACCTTCGGCAAACGCGCAGTGAATGTGACTCACGGTGGTCTAATGAGCTTTCCGTTCCTTATGTTTCCGGGGATGGGAAACAGCCCTCCCCGCATGGAGTCATTACACCACTCCTCCTCAAAGACCTCTCTGCCTTCCTGTTGCTTGCAGGATCAACAGGTAGTACGGGAGATGCTCGCACCTAGCTCTCAGCCCACTTTCCTCCTCCTATCGTTTTTCTCAAGGCTTTATTCCCACACATCCAGCCTTTCCTATCTCCAGACCCCCCTCAGACATCACCTCCCTTGGAAGCCTTCTCAGACTTCCCTGGTGTGGAGCCAGTCCCTCCTTCCTCTGCGTTCTCACAGCACTGTGTGTTCACTTGATTTTGACACTTCTCACATGGTAGTCTAATTATTAGTTTGTGTATCTGTCATTCCCCACCCTCCTTTGCTCTAGACTGTGAGCTTCTCATGGGCCCCTGTGAGTCTTATCCACTGGAGTGTCATTAGAGCCTGATGTTCAATGTCCAGCTCTCAGCAGGTGCTCAGAAAATGTTAACTGAAAGAAAGAACAGGGGAAGAGAATGGTGTTCTATTATTTATTGAGCAGAACTCGGGTAGGATGATACAATGAGGCATGGACCCATTAAAGAGAGCAACGGTGCTTTAATGAAACTTCTTTTAAATCTGTGAACACATGAGCTGTGAAGTAAATGCTTTTATTTTTTCCATAGGATAGATTTCCAAATGATGATCACAGTGTTTAGGTTAATAAGATGCTGGACAGATGAGTAGCCAAAGAATGTTATAAAATAATACAATCCCCTCAACTATATATCAAATGTGAATTTACTGAAAGATCAAGAGAATGTTTATAGTTACAAGGCTAAGAATAAGACATTATTACAGTAATATCCATAAAACTAGAAAAAAAACATGTAACAAAAAGGCCTTTCATAAGCTATTAAATGAGCTTACACAACAGATAAACCAATGTAATATTTGAAGCAGCTTATAGCACCAACATGTTGGCAGGACCAGTAAAGGGGTAGGCCAATGGACTGAGGCAGCCGAGAGCAGGGAGGAATATCAGCCATCATCTACTTAAAGCCCCTTGTTTTAGATGGTGAAATGTAGGTCCAGAGAGATGAAGTGCCTTGTCCAAAGTCACACAACACAGGGACACAGGACTGGCTACAAAATGATCCAGGGCTAAGACCCAGGCCACCCAACTTTAAGTAAGTACTCTATTTTAATCTACATGTAATTCTATTTGCTTCAGTATATTTTTTCCTATACAGATCTACCATAAAAGAAATCAATACAATTCATTACACACTCTGGCAATGTATTTATTTTATTGATAAAGGACTGACATGTACTATAATTCACTTCTTGGGCCAATATAAGTTCTTAAACACAAACTAAGAGTAACCGTTCAGATGACACTATTTGAACTGTAAATTGGTTGAGCAAAGGCATCTGAAGAGAAAGTTTGGCACATCCTCCACTATCTAAACTAACCTATGCCTCAAAATTACTAAATCATTTGTATAATTTTTTTTCTGATAGTTCCAAGATTAGTAAAGTACAAAAACAGTCCAAACAAAGAGACAGCAAATTAGGTCTTTTAAAAGATAAGTATGGCACTTTTCATTTTAATAAGGTATGGAAATGTAAAAACCTGATTCTTTTTGGGGGAAAAAAAGAAAAGCAGCTACAACCTATAGCTTGTGAACCACCTAGTATATGTGTTTTATTTTTAAAAAGTGTTTCTATAAAATACCTTGGAGTCATAAAATTTTGTCTTGCATATCTTACCATGGTCCTGAGGCCTCAATTGGACAGATTTATGAGGAATTAATAAAGATAGAACAACAAAAAAGAAATCACTGTTAATGAAGCAGCACTGAAGACAAAGAATAGTGAACATATTTAAATAGCTTCAGAGATATAATGCCAAGAAGTTGCATGTATATATGTGATTGGTGCATCATTATAGTGGTAGCTGGAAAAAACAACACACATTGGGCATTTGTCCACCTTTATCATAAACCAGCTGCTGCAGAACAATTAAATGGTGGCTTAATAAGTAGAATAAAACCTGATAAATAAAAGTGACTTCTTCATATCATATATATGTATACATACATTTTCTCACACAGACCTAGTTATATGTAAATCTACATTTAGCTACAATATTTTCCCCTTGGGTCCAGCATCAAAGGATTTGATTTCCCTTTTCTTGAACTTGCCCTACACCTGCTTAGGAAGTTACATGACATTTTTACTCATAGCCTGTATGATATCTGGCCAGCAAAAATAAAATGAAATCTCTTGGGACCTCAAGACCATTCACAAGCATATTAACAAGTATATAGGAAAACATATCTGTTTTCTGTTAGATAAGAGAATATGTTTTAATACTAAAGAATAAACTATCCTTGCTACCAAAAATGTGCACACAACAGTATAACAAAAGTAATTTCATGAAAATATTTTAATAACAAGCTACATTATAAATATTTAAAGAAAAGATGTTAAAAATCAGAGTGAAAATAAGATTAAGTGTTTTGAAACTGTGAGTAGAAAAATATACTTATTTTAAAAAGTCTCCTTAAGTGAAGCAATAAATATCAAGTTGTCTCTTTAGTGTACATTTCAAATTTCACCTTTTGAAAGGTAAAATCTTTCTTTCTCCTAAACAGGTGGCTATAATTTACTTAGGAACTGGGCATATTGCAGAACCAAGGGTAGATGACAGAGGTTAAGGGCAATGGTATGATTTTCACATAATCTTGGAAAAGTGAGGGCAGTTCACAATGCTGAACAGATAGGTGACTTGGAGAAATACTGAAGATATTTGAGCTGTTTTAAAAAATAGTACTGCATTTGTATCCACAACCAGCATAATACTCAAAACCCAGATGTTAGATTTTAAAAGGGGTTTGCATGCAAGGCAAGAATGTACAGAACCAGGCAAAACTTGTACATAATTCCTTTTGGGGGTTGAATAATTTTTTAGGGTAACTTTAAAATCCTTTATGAGTAGTTATTTTTAATGTACTGAGAATGAATTAAAATGTCAAAGGTCTAGTCTATGGTTGAGGCCCTTACGTGAGCATTTTTTTAAAAAGTATCCTCACTTCCTCTTTGATGATAAAATACCCTCTGGCCACAGGAGATTCTTTGGGATCTCCAATGGAAATCGGAAGCTGTGAGGGCTATATTCATGCCCAGAGGAAAACCAAGGAACCGAAAGCCCAGTTGCTGGAACCCTTGGGCCCAGGTAGTACCACTGAATCCAAGCCCCTCTGTGGGGGCCTCTCTTGGATGGTTTGTGCACAAGGTAGGGATGACACTGACACTGTCAGTACCTTCATGGCTTTTGTATGTTTCTTACCCACCATGTTCTACCCACTTGAGACTGGGGAGGGGAAGGGAGGTGACTGTTACCTTTCAAAATAGATGTTCCAGCAAAATACAAAAGGTAAAGGGAAGGCAGGGAGAGAAAGAATTAGCCAATAAGAGCAGCTGGTTGTCACACTGTTCCTCTTGTGGCTGGGCTAGTGTGCACTCTCTTATTCCATTCGTTCTGGTAGACATTTTGGGGCTGAGAATGTGAGCCCTGGGGGCACAGCTGCCAGTATCTCCTGCAAGGGGCTCCCCTTTCCTAGACTCAGGGTCTCTGAAGCCCCAGGGGCCCCTCAGGAACTAATACTTCATATTATAAAAGGTATTAAAATTAAAATCTTCTTATAAAAACTTCAGTTTGTTTTTAAATTTTTAATTGGCACAGTTTATTGTAGCCTCAGCAGTCAATAAGCTTTCAAGAGGGGAGAGATGATATCATTACTTGATTACAACAAATACAATCTTTACGACATTCTTTACTTTGTGTACAGTAACTAAATGAAAGAGGTTTTTACTCTACCTACACACAGCTCAAGATAAAGGTATAACTTCTGGAGTTGAGGAAGTGATGGTATGCAAAGGGAGAAATTTTAATTTTAATATAGAATATGTGTATATACAAAGACAAATATATATATACACAAAACACTCCTTACCCATATATACTGTACAGGTTGGCACACCCCTCTTAAGAACATACTGTAATATAAAGTTTTTAGGATTTAAATCTAGACAGGTGCTTAGATAATTTAGTGTTTTGACATAACTGGATCATTTATATATTTAAAAGTATATAATTCTGTTTTTTAAAGACCCAGGCCAACTTTCCTTAAGCAGTCACCCAATATGCCACCATAGTTATCAAACGGAAAACAAGATTGTTATTCTGTATTAAATCAGTAAAGGGTATTTTAGAGAAAGGACAACTTGGAAAATAAAGACTTCAGAGTCCATGATTCCAAGATAAGAGCTTTTTAGTTATTAGCAGTGGTTACCAAACAAGCTGAAGGTAAATCTCTTCAAGGAGCTGCTCATAATTTGCTTCGTTGAGAAGAGGCAAGGAACCATTTCACTATTCCTCTATAAGATGATGCAAGTTTTTTTATCCTTGAAAGGGTTTTCTGAAGTTGGTATCCCTATCAGCAACGGGTCACTCCTGGCATGCTCCTCACAGTAGGACATGAGGTCTGCTGACGCCTTTGAAACCTGACATGTAGACAAACCAAAGCAAACAAACAAGAAAGAAAATGCTTTATTTACAAACTTTCAAAGTGTATTTGAATGCTCACCTGTTGTGTGGAAGACTGATGGAGAACAGGCTAACCAGAGTCTCAAAGTTTATTTGTTAGTTACAAAGGGATAAAGGTACTTCTAGCTGCAGAAATCTGGCAGTTATAGCCTTCCTTAACCAAACGATCACACTGACCTCGTGTCTCCTGATGTGAGCACACTAGGACATACCACCAGCTAGCTGGCATTCCTGCCAAAGCATTTAACTGGAATCTACTTGCAGCCAAGGTGAGGGCCATTCTGCAAACTGAGTGGCCTGGATTCTTCAAAAATGGGCTTTGTGTTAGGTAATATTATTAAATGATCCTGAATGTTATAATTGTACTGTGGTTATGAAGAAGAATGCCCTTGAATTGAGGAGATAGGTGGTGAAGTATTTAGGGCTAAAGAGCCATGATGTCTGTAAACAAGTTTTGAGTGATTCTAAGAAAAAAAAAGTGTTGTGTGTATGTATGGACAGAAAAAGAGAGAGAGAGAAAATGTGGCAAAAATAATAACAATTGGTGAATCCTGGTAGAGTTATATGGGTATTGTTAGAACTCCTCTGTAGGTTTGAAATTTCTCAACAAGTGTGGGGAGGAGGAGTATGTGAATTAAGGGAAGATTTTATCTTAGTTTCTGTTCAATAAAAAATCGAATGGAATGCATAACAGAGTTTAAGAACTGAATTATGTGCTTGGAGCCCAAACTTTGAGAGTCAAGAGAGTCAAGTTCTAGGAGAACTTCAAGATTTTACTGTTAAAGATTGGGCTGGAGAAATAAAATGGGACAAAACCAGCAAGGGAAGATGCAGTGCCTTCCTCTGACATGAGTTAAAGATGGATAATGCTAAGATATGTGCAGAAAAGTCTGGGTGGGAGATCCCTTGGAATAATCAGATCACTGTCCCCGGGCAAGGAGCACAGGGCTGCTGAGTCCTGTCAAATACTGCATGAGAGGTCTCATATTTTGGAGACAGGCAGCTGTCTCCCAGCCCAGAGGAATTTATCAGGTGACTGTTTCAGTTTCTAAGAAACAGCATTACAACATTCCAGGGCACTCACAGCCTAGTCCACCCTTCGGATTTGGAAGCAGAAAAGATGTCAAGTCAGATGACCTAACAAATGCCTTCTGGTTTCTTCCAGATCTCAACTAAGTCTGGCATTACTTACCTTCGGTGCAGAATGTGGTCATTAAAGTCCCCACACAATTAAAAAGCTGCATTCTCCTAAAAAGGAGCCCCCAATTGTTGACTTATTATGCACGGCTACCGCAGCTGTACTGATACTTCTAGAATACTTAATAAAATTCCAGAGGGTGTTTATAAGGTCCATCTGGAACCTGTCCCCAATGTAGACATCACAGGATTTGACTGTGGTAGGTCCTCAAGAAATCCTGTCACAGTTTTAGGTTTTCTGTCCAGAGAGGCTCATGCCAGTAGAAATGAAAGTTAGGATTCTGAGACTCACAGCTTGCTCTAGGAACATCCTGGTACCAAGCTGCAGTAAGTGTGCACTTTCCTTCTCTGAAATGTGTGTGACCCTGCCTTCAGAGAGCAGAACTGACTAGAAAACACATCTAACCTCATCAAGGCTTCCTACCTTTATTCTTTCAATGGAGGCTTCCAGGCGCAGCTGCTGCACAGTCCTCCTCGCATGGGCTATGTTATTGGTGCTTGCTGTTTTGCTTGACATCTTCACTTGTTGTTTCTACCTGAAATCTGAAGGGAATTTTCTTAAAGATGAGTAAGTCACCTTTGAGCTGTTTAAACATTCACAGTGCTTTTTGTTACTTTATGGGAGGAGGATTCATTTTCCAGTCATCATAGCCTTGATGAGGTAGTTACTAAAATGCCCTTTGGTGGCCTAGGTGTCTGCGCTTGTTAGCCATTGGAGCACCTTCATAAATCTTCGGTTTGCAGAAACCCAGTACTAGCAGTTTAATCCGTGCACCCTAACAAACAGCACAAAGTAGCCTTTTTTAGGAATTTCTAAGAGGAAATGCATATACATAAACATTTTGCAGTAGATTAGGGGGCCTCCAGCAAATGTGAGCACGTGCAACAGAGGCCATGTTACATGTGCAGTTTAATATTACTGCTATGGACTTTAATAGAAGGTTTGATTTTATTTCATTTTGGTTCTCTTACCCAACAATTAAACCGATGCAAGTTGTAGCAACAGAAACGGGCAATAGAAGAGAGTACCTCTGGAAAACTTAGCACCTAAAAATGCACCCTTTGTGCAATCAAGATTTGCAATTATTTGGAGAACGTTAGGCAAATAAGGAAGTTTTTATTCAAGAAAAAGTGGGAACCTTTGAGCTGAAAGACTCTCAGTGATAGGTCCACAACAGATGTCAAATGGGACACACTGAGCGGCCTGAAGCCTGACATATTTAATAGGACTTTATCATTCCCTCCTTTGGCCTCATCCTGGTGCAGGGCACTTGCAATCCTGGTCATCATGTGACTCTCCTCTCTGGTGTGAGCCCCTGGATTCCAGACTGCCCTTTCCTTCTCCCTTCCCAGCCACCTGGTGAAAAGCGAGGGAAACATCCTGGGCCTTGAGCCTTAACCCATCTGGTCGTCCAAGTGCAGGAAGGCAGGCTGGGAAAAAGCACAGCTTGGTGCCTCTGCCATATATGGCTAAGTTCTCTGCCGGCATGGTGGTGAGTGGAGGAAAATGCAGAGCTGGCAGGCCTGGCAGCAATGTGGCAATTTTATGACTCATAGGAGCAGGTGGACAGTAGGTAGGCTTCCCCTGTGGTATGCAAGGGCTCAGCAAAGTCTGAGGGCACAGTGGCGCCAACGGCAAATCTAGGCTGACTCACCTGCTGCAGGGGGAGCTGCCACATGAAGCACATCTGCCATAAAAGCTTAGACTGGACAAGACTGCAAAAAACACCAGCAACCCACTGGCTCCACAGTGTCCACCATGTGGGCACCACGGCGTTCACCTGACTTCTGTCTGTCACACTTGGAATGCTCCCAATGGCTAAGTTCCAGGACGTGGGTCAGGCTTGTATTCTCCGAGGCCAGAGGTAACAGTTTTGAATCAAATGCACAAATAAAACTGCTTATAACTGTGTGCTAAACTTTGAAATCCAGCCTAATCAGCAAGCTTCACATTCCTGGGTTTGGACCCTGCCTCTGCCACTTACTAGCTAGGTAAGTACAGGCAGGTTACTTAACCTCTAGGAGCCCAAATGCTCCCATTTGTAATATAAGTATGCTGACGCTTTTGAGGATTCAACTCGCTGATGCACAGGTAGTGTTTGCACTCCATAAATAGCAGCTGCTTTTTATATTTGTCCTCAGGGGACACACCCAACATAATGAATGAGAATTCCCCATGTCTGCCTCTCCCTGGTCAATGAGCCTTGAGGATCTGACAGAACCAGGTCTGGGGGGCTGTGGATATCAGCCCCTCTTTCAGCATGGCCTTCGGTGATTCTGCAGCAGTCTAGTGTCAGGGTAGAGGGGTGTGGTCTGTGACAGCCCACAGAGAGGTCTCCTAGAATAAAGGAGCCCTAGCAGTGGAGGGAACAGGGAGGATCACGTGGCAGGGCCAGATGGCCTTGGGTGACCTCGCTTCTCCACACTTCCTGCCTCGCTGCCTTTTCCTCAGATTCCTCAGTCACCCTGCCTGCCCCACCCAAGGAGAGGCCTAGGGTCTCCTCCCTGTGGAGTCGCTGCACCCAGTGGCCTGGCCCAGCCCCCTTCTGTGCTCCCAGGCAAGTGCTTATTAGCAGTCTTTGCAATGGGACTGAGGCAGTAGGCGACCTCACTTTGACCAGTCTGAAGTGCCTGGATTCACAGTGCTGCTGGTTCCACATTTTGTTCCCCACAGCAGGTCAAACTGGGTTCCCCTGCCAGCTGGCACAGGTTCTGAAGACTGGCCCCCTGCCTTCAGAATGTGAACACGACACCCTTTCAGAGCAGCTTGTGGTTTCTAGGCAGCATCCTAAAGACTTTCTAAATGTTCCCTTTGCATGAGAATAACGCCAAGCATTCTCTTCTCAACCTCCAGGGCATAAAGTTTCCAAGGCCTGAGCAAGTTTTCCTGTAACTGTAGAACAGTTCACACGTATCTGGGTTGGATGGGTCACTGCTCCCACCCATACGGCCATAAGCAAAGTCCATAGTCAGGCTCTCTTCATAAAACACTTGGGTAGTTCTCTCTAAAACTGGCAAAAAACTTTGCATCTAATACATTGGGGACTTTCTTACTTCTTGGCTGTAGTATAGTCATGATTAAAAACAGCTAGCAATTCACAATTCACGCTTGTTAGCCTCTCCCAGCTTTCCCTAATCTGACATCAAGCTCCTTCACCAAGGGCCTTCACCCCTGTCACTCAGCTTCCAGCTCCTTTCCACTGGGGACCCCTCTATCCTCTGCTTCACCTGGAGCCCCAGTCCCCACCTCCTGCTCTGCCAACCTATTTCGCGCTCCCAACTCAGATACAATTTCTCAAAGTTCACTTCCTTCTGCTGGCATATGGAATACCCACTTAGATATGAGTTCATGAATTTAGGAGGCAGGCAATTTTCACAGCTGCAAGGATTAGCACAACTTTCTACTGAATGTTGTGTAGGAATAGCTTTTGCAAGTCAATTAAAGGGGAGCGATTGTGATCAATCCCAGAAAAAGCTGTACACCAGGGCACTGGGAAAGAATACAATGCCTTATTATAACCTTCTTCCTCTGGAGAAATCAGATCAAGATTATTGTTTCAATTTGAGGAGCCTCTCGGAGGTACTCAAGCTGAGTACGAGAGGGCCACTGCACTCTGAGCTGCTGAACTGCGAGAGGGCCACTGCTGCGTGACTTGAGCGGTGGCAGGTGTCTCTAGGACCCGGAGGTCTAGCTGAGGACTTCCACCTGACTTGCAGCTGCTCTGCAGCTCAACAGCTGGGCTAGGGCAGAACGTGCCTGAGAGGCTGGTACACAAACATCTCTGTGCCTTCAGAGGGTTTTCCTTCAATGGCAAAGATGTCTAGCTATTTGTGCTACTATGTGGATAAAATCTTGCTTTATTCTTACTCCAAGAATAGCTTCCAAGGCAAACACCACCTGATACTTGTGTGGAACCTTGAGCGGGCACGTGTTGCTTTCATACTGATTGGGACGTGAAGCATCACTATAACCCTGAAGGGCATCTTGCTATTCCTTCCCTGTTTACAGATGAGGCAGCTGAAGTTCGGAAGACTTGCCCCAGTTTAACCCACCTCCTAAGCCTCAATTCAGCTTGTGAACCTTTTCACCCCAGAAGCCATGCTTCCCACTGTACCAAGGCAGGGGTGCAATTCCAATTAAGTTGATTCACAAACATAGGGAATCACCAAACAGTCCACAGTATGGTTCTGATTAAACTGGCTAACAAGGGTGACCTTGACACTATGTGACCCGGAGTTGTAGGCTTGCTGATTGCTTCGAGTTTGTGCAACAACCCTCTGGTGCAGAATGCATCTGTTTTTCTGTCTGGTGCCCTGGAGAACAGGCTTCCCACTCATATTCATAAGGTAAGCAAGCCACTAGCAGGCAAGGACTGAGGTTAGCACCAGGAGATGCATCAAGGAGATGCCGAGCCACCAATGTACCATCCAACCCAGAAGGGCCAAAGCCTTTGCATGCCTGTGCAGACCCCCAGTTTGACAAAATTCTGCTTATTTTTTCTGTAACCCTTGTTTTCATTTTTTTACATGTGGCTAACAGATTTGAATAAACATGCACAGTAGTTAGCTATTCAAATAATCTGCATTGCTTTTAATGTTGTTCATTTGAATTCTCAGGGTTCCAAGAAATTATTAGGAACAAGATGTCTCATTAGGGAAATATGGGCATTTTTATCTTTGTCTAGATGGACTGAAGCAGGGAGGGTGAATGTGTTGCAGATCATACACCGGGAAGCCCCAAGAAATGAATCACAAGTCCTCATGGCCTGGCCAGTAACTGAATCACTGGAGGGAAGCCAACGTTCCTGAGCAAATATACCCCTTGTGGATAAAAGAGCAGGTTTAAAAAAAAAAGGCTTCCACTTCCCTTCAGATCTTGCCTTAAACTATCAGTGTCTTATTCTGGCTCTTTGCCCTTCATCTGTTAAAGGGGGGCAGCAATACCTGTCTCAGAACACTGCTCGGAAGATAAACAGGAGCACCTGTCAGAAAAGACCCTGTGCATGCAAATATTGAATACTGGGCTCAGTAACAAGATGAAAACCATGTGTTTGGTTGGAAAGAAGAGAAAAATTCAGACAGCAAAAGAAGAATTTCAAGGTATTATGATAAGGTAGCAACATCTTTGCAACATAGCCTTAGAGGAAATGCAGTCGGTGTGGGGTCAGACTCTTAAGTTTTTCTATTCTCATGAACATTTACTATTTTACTATTTTAAATCAGAGTCTGCAGGCTGAATCCAGACTGCAGATGGGTTTGTCTCGGCTCCACACAGGCTTACTTTGTAAGTGTGTGTGTTACCTTTAAATTGATAGTTGACATTTGAAAACTGGAGGTTTCACCTTAAAAGAAAGATTTCTTGAAAAATCAGAAAATCTTACAAAACTGGGCTGTATCTGTGTAGTAGCTGTTCCTTCAACATTTGCTGGCACAGCTGCCAGGCCCGCTGTTGGAACTTGTGACACAGCCTTTATGCCTTGGATATTTAGTCCCAGGGTCTGGGCCAGGGGACCTGAGCTCTCTATTGCCCTTGCCACTTCCTA